AGTCGTTGGCATCTAGCTACGCTGGTGTCGTCTCAAGTTGTCATGGCGAGCCCGTCGGATGCGCATAGCGCGACGCGTATCCATATCTCTCTTTTTTTTTTTCCCCTTCTAGTGTGTGTCACTTTTTTCTCGAGCTGTCTAAGCATGCCCGGCCGGGTCCTGCGGACAGCCGTTGTTGGTCAATGCCCTCTTCACAGCAACGCAAGACAAGTCATGCCGGAAGGGGCCGGTTCGTCTGGTGTCGCCGCATCGGTCGGTCCTCGGGCTTCGGTCAGCAATCAGGCCACGCCTCTTACACCGAGGGTTGCCCGCGCACGCGACCAACCGAGCTAGAAGTTTTACAGTTGTGTCAATTCCGAATAGCGAGTTTGGCTGTCAAAGGGGGAGGGGGGAGGGAATCCCGCATCGTCCCATCCAGCACTCGCTTTTGGCAGTGTATCCTCATCACCGACATCAGCCTCATATAGCAAGCAGATCGATGCATCGTGGCCTCTCCCGTCCTCATGACTCTTGCCAGCTCATGCCTCTCGGGCTCCTCTTTTGCGTCGATTTCGATCGCATTGGCCGTTGCATCTTTATTTTTATCCTACTTTTTGGTGGCGCGGTACACGCCGAGGCGGAACAGACCGACGGGCCAAGCGAAAACCGGGAGAAAACCCCAGGGCACGTAAAAGCATGAAAAGATCCATCGTTGGACCCGAGTCTTGAGTCGTGAGCCGCTGTTGATGGAGTAAAAAAAATATTAAAAAAACCCCCCGGAGTGGAGTTGGGGCTGGTCGTTGTCGTCGTGGGAAAAGCTCGTGATAAATGCCTTTGCGTCGCAGCAAGTTATGCATGCAAGGGGCGCATGAGCGCGTCCGCGGGTAGGCGCCGCGACAGGTAGATGAAATGGCGTGGTGCTGCGCCCGACAGTGAATAAGCGAGCTTTTGGTTCTGTTTCACCTAGATTGGAGCCATGCAGTTTGGGCTTTGTTGTTTATACATGCTACGCTGGGCTCGCCCAGTGCATTCACCGACCGGGCGAGCCAAGAAACAGGGACCTTGAGCAACACACTGGTACAGCTCGATCGGAAACGTCCGATTTCCGCTCTAGTTCCGTCTGCAAACCGTCTTCCCCATTTGCCGTCTTGGTCCCCTTTCTCATCCGCCCGAGCATGGATCACCGTTGCATCGCTCCTGTAGGAGGGGACTCCACGGAAGGCACAGACAGGACGCCCGTTCGCGCCGCATCGCTGTGCCAAGAGACCAGGTTTTGTTGTTGGATGAAGATTCGCTTCGTAATTGCTTTTTACATGACGAACAGCACTGCCGTGCCCTGGTGATGCTGAATTATCACCGCCTCTTCCGGCGGAGAAATATCCAACAGTACTAGTGGAACCCGATAGTGGGATATGCGGCCATCGCCTTCCATGTACAGCATGTACAACGTACGGCTGCAGCCAGCCAGGTATAGCTACTCTATTTTGTCTCCGAGTGTGGAAACATAGCCAGTGCCCTCAGACGTTACGATGAATCTGCCGTTGACACGAGCAGTCGCCCCTTTGGCCCCTTTGCCCCTTTGCCCGAGCCGCTCAGCCTTGCCGAGGCCCATTCGGCCATGGCAGTTGAGTCTCGTAGCGTCGTATGCAACACGGGATTACCATGACGTTGTCGTTTTATATCCAAGCGTTCTCTCAGTAACAGAGACATCATGCCATGCGGCCCTGTACATGTCCACACGTTCTCCACAACCCACCAGACACATCTCCGGGCCCAGAATACTGATGCCGTACAACTCTCCAAGCTAACTATGTGTCACTGTCAGGTGAGGCGCATGCACCATGGAGATTGCCAAGTTTTAACCCTGGAGGGAAGTCCCCAGGTAGGGCCGACCAACGGTGAGCGCCACTGCAGACGTGTGCAGGTGCATATGCCGGTAGATGAGTGAAGATATTAATAAGATGTGCCAAGCCAACTGACACCTGACCCTCGAGTTACGGATAATTGGGTTTGAGATTGAGGAATAGACGCCCGGCGATTCCACTGCCGCTTTTTCGTATTCAGCGTCCGTACTAAGCTACCCTGTCTATATCAGCAGCAACTTGCCTCGAGCGTATTCAGTCTTCGAAATTGCCAACATGTCCTCCCCTCTGTATCGTCCTCCAGATCGGCTCCGGCGAGCGACCCATTCGGTTTTGCGCGGAAACTCCTTGTCTCCGAAATGTGTGTGTGTAAAAGCTGCGCGACCGACCCGCCGGTTCTTTGGCCGCGACCCAAAAGCATGGGCCGCGTGAGGGCACTGGCCGCAAGCGAGGCCGCCAGGACGCGCAAGAGGCCCCCCCGGTCGAGAAGTTTGGCCCCGAGCGCCGTTGGGAACGTGGAGGTCAACTTCGGCATCGTACGGCCGCCCGGCTGTCGCGCGGCCGGGAGCCGGCAGAAACCGTTATCGTGGCGCACCAGCATCGGCACTTCCGGTCGGCTGGCCCCTCGACGAGGGTCACAAAGACGGGGAAGGCGCTTGGGGTCGCGCAGGTGTGTCGCTCAGGTCTTAGCTCGTTGGTCGACGTCGATCATCGAGAAAAAGCCAGGGGATCATGGTGGTGGGTTTCCTGCAAGGACTGGTCGTGGATGCGCGCGGCGTCGGCAACGTCGAGCCATGATCCCCTGCGAATGGCTATAGCCATTATCGGAAGGCGAAGGACTATGAATCACCGGCTATGAAAAAGTTTGTTCAATTGGTACTGTGCTGGGAAGGGTATCAAATGTTGGAGCTGGGAAGCTGAATGACTTGACTGCGGCTACAGAAAATGGACTTCCGCCACACAGTGCCCGCAACCTGTCTGCCTCTATCATAAACTTGCTTCCGGTTGCTTCCATATATTCTGGGGTTCTCATTCGGCGGCAACGGCGACCAGCAGTCGGCAAAATGAAACTCATGTCAGTTGTGATTTAAAATCTCGCAATATTCGAGCTTTGCTTCCCTCGCCATGGTTCATGTAGCCCAACTCTCCAGGTTTACAAATTGCCTGTAACCTCTCGAAACGTGATCACAACAAATGTATATAAAGGGCTGAGTGCCAGCCGCACTCCAAGGATCAACGCGCGCTCAGAATCCTTCCGTCACCGTCGTCGGTTTCTTTGCTGCAGCAACACAGATTAACCATGGAAACCCTTTCAATATAAATATCAAGTTTCCTCATTCACAATACACCCAGAAAATGTAAACAGCATCCAGACCGAAGCTCTTGTCTGCTACTACCTTTATCGGCTTATGCTTCTGTCCCGAGACCATGGCAATCGATTATTGAACGACGCACTATTCTTTCCGCTTCACTGACGGAGGAATGCCTCGGTCAGGTCCACGGATTATTACATCCAGCCAGACGGCAGCGCACCCAGCCAAGGACGCTCGATTTGGTCCCATTTCGACAAGTACAGTCGTGGGGAACTGAGTAGCTGACGTGCTATTCGCTTTACTCTCCGGCTGGGCATTCGGGCTTCGATTTCAGTCACTCCGGGAACAAAGGCGAATTCGTTTCGGCTAGATTCTGAAAGGAAAGTCTCGTCTCCGCTGGTGGTACTTGAAGGGCCAAGAGTGAGGCCATCCAGCGTTGGCATCGCTCAAGTACATGGCAGAGATCACTTGATGGCCTGAATTACAATATTGATATATTTTACGTCATCCGGCATGAACAGCCGGAATGTCTCCGCCCAGAGATGGTTTGCTTTTTAGCTACCGAGATGTTACAGCTGAGAGCTCTCAGTTCAGTCTGAACGACGACTTGAGCTCCAACAAAAAAGGTCTGCAATTGAGATAAAATCTGTCTTTCTTCCCCCGAATGGCACACACACTCGACACGGCTGCAGCACTCACCACTCAGCTATGAAATTGCAAGTGAATGAATGGGCCGGACGGTGCGGGCATGTCATTTTCGATTCAATAAGGTGACCACGCTGAACCGCTGAGTAGATGATGCAAGGGCTGTGTGCTAGTTGTATGTGAACAAATTAGCACTAATAGATTGTCAGAAATTGACATTGTAATACGCAAAGCACTTCTGAGGTTGTTTTTTCTGACGAGTCTACAGCTGCTACGTGCCATGCTCCCGCTCTGCTTATTATTTCCACCGTGGGCAAATGGTATGTTACCTTACGCCCGCTCAACGGAATAAGTTGTGCGCGAGAGATTTCGGCACCGCCGTCGGCCAATCCCAAGCTCTTAATGGAACCCGGCTGCGGGGATATAGATGGCGCTGCTGGTGAAAAATTGACGACATCTCGGGTTCCGACTGATACGGCCGTGTTCACAGACATCAAACACGTGCTTCGTGAAGGTTCGTCGGGGAGCGTCGTGCGTTTCGGCTGGCCTTTCCCTCCAAGAGTCTTGCAGGCTCGGTAGCGCCAGCATCGAGGCCTCGCAAAGTCGGGGGGGGTATCGGCCAGGTTATGGTGGTTGCAGAACGGCGGACAGCAACCAGCGGGATATCGTCCCGAAGATGCGGCCGGGCTTCTGTTGATTGGCTTGTCGGCGACGGCTGCATATTTATCCCCTAGCAAAAGTTGTCTCCGCTGATTATGGCGTCGCCAAGTGCCCACAACTCTCCAATTTAGCGGGGTCGTCCATTAAACATCTCCAAATAGCCCCAACGAGAGGCCCTGAAAGCTGTTCCGGTACACTCGTTTCTTGGAGCTCCTCGCATTTCGTTGGCATTGTCTCATCGCAGCTGCTCTTGTAACGGGCTCTGATTGGGCCTGTAAGATGACGAAACATGGCTCCAAAAAAGGAAATCCCGGCCTTTGCACCGCATCAGCCCCGCGATGCCGGCGAAGCTACTTAAACTTCAACCCCGCGCTAGAGTTACTTTTTTCTCCTTCTCTCTTGCGCTGCTATTGACGGGGAAATACTCAGGCTTTATCTACTATTTGTGATTAGAGAGCTTCATAGACTTGGTCTGAAGCATATTCTATCAGTTCTTTCTTCCTGCATAGAACCCTAGGACGGCTCAGCGACATCGTCCATCATGGCCAACCTCAACGTAGAGGAGGTGCTCAAGAAGCTGACCATTACCGAAAAGGTTGAACTGCTCTCCGGTAGGCCAAACTACTTCATGATCATATGGTGCACTGCTAACTTTAACACGCCTAGGCATCGACTTTTGGCATACAAAGGCTTTGCCCAAGCATGGGATACCCTCCATTCGCATGTCCGATGGCCCGACCGGCGTACGCGGAACCAAGTTCTTCAATGGTGTCCCCGCTGCTTGCTTTCCCTGCGGTACTGCCCTTGGTGCTACCTTCAATCAAGAGCTTCTTGAGCAGGCCGGCAAGACCATGGGCGACGAGGCCATTGCCAAGAGCGCCCACCTGATTCTCGGTCCGACGATCAACATGCAGCGGTCTCCCCTTGGCGGCCGCGGCTTCGAGTCGATTGGCGAGGATCCATTCCTGAGCGGACTCGGTGCCGCGGCTCTAGTCCGCGGTATTCAGAGTACCGGTGTTGTTGCTACCATCAAGCACTTTCTCTGCAACGACCAGGAGGACAAGCGCATGGGTGTCCACAGTATCGTCACCGAGCGTGCTCTCCGCGAAATCTATGCCATGCCCTTCCAGATCGCTGTTCGCGACGCCTATCCTGGCGCCTTCATGACCGCCTATAATGGCATCAACGGCACTTTTTGCAGCGAGAACCTTAAATATCTCGATGGCATGCTGCGCAAGGAATGGGGCTGGAGTGGGCTCATCATGAGTGACTGGTTTGGCACGTATAGCACAAACGATGCCGTCAAGGCCGGCCTTGATCTCGAGATGCCAGGTCCTTCGCGTTTTCGCGGTGACGCTCTCCAGTTCAATGCTTCCACCGGCAAGCCTTTTATCCATCACATTGACGACCGCGTGCGCGCTGTGCTAAACCTGGTCAAGAAGGTCTCGTCCCTACCAATTGAAGAAAACGGCCCCGAAACGACACTTGACACACCTGAAACGGCCGCCCTGCTACGAAAAATTGGCAATGAAAGTATTGTGTTGCTAAAGAACAAGGATAATATACTCCCTTTTTCCAAAGACAAGAAGACTCTGGTGTTGGGGCCTAACGCCAAGGAGGCCACTTACCATGGTGGTGGCTCAGCTGCTCTTCGTGCCTACTATGCCGTTACTCCATATGATGGTATTAGTGAGAAACTCGGTAGTCGGCCTGCCTTTACTGTTGGCGCCTATACCCATCGCTTTCTGCCCATCCTGGGAAGTCAACTCACCGACCCTAACGGCAAGCTTGGCATGCGTTGGAGGGTCTTCAACGAAGCCCCGGGGACCCCTGATCGCAAAGTGATTGACGAGCTTCAGTTCACCAAAACTGAGATGCATTTGGTCGACTACAGTAACCCGAAAGCCAACGATGTATGGTATGCAGATCTAGAAGGCTCCCTCGTCGCCGATGAGGATTGCACATTTGAGATCGGTGTCGTTGTTTCCGGCACGGCCAAGGCATTTGTCAACGATCAGCTCATTGTTGACAACGCCACGAAACAAATCGCCGGTGACGCATTTTTTGGCACCGCCACTCGCGAAGAGCGCGGTTGCGTCGGGATGAAGAAGGGCGAAACCTATAAGTTCCGTATCGAGTTCGGCTCGGCTCCTACATTTACTCTGAAGGGTGATGCGTATGTGTCTGGCCATGGCTCTCTCCGCGTTGGCGGTTGCAAGGTCCTTGATGACCAGCAGGAAATAAAAAAATCCGTGCAGCTCGCCAAAGAGCATGACCAAGTCATCATTTGCGCTGGCCTCAACTCGGACTGGGAGTCAGAGGGCGGGGACCGCGCATCCATGAAGTTGCCCGGCGTTCTTGACCAGCTCATTGCCGAAGTCACTGCCGCCAATGACAGCACGGTCGTTGTCATGCAAACCGGCACACCCGAGGAGATGCCCTGGCTGTCCCATACCAAAGCTGTCCTACAAGCCTGGTATGGAGGCAACGAAACCGGCAACTGCATTGCTGATACCATTTTCGGCGACGCAAATCCCTCTGGCAAACTGTCACTCAGCTTCCCCAAGCGTCTGCAGGACACGCCTGCGTTCCTGAACTTCCGTGCCGAAGCCGGCCGCACTCTCTACGGCGAGGATGTCTACGTTGGCTACCGCTACTACGAGTTTGCCGACCGAGAAGTCAACTTTCCATTTGGCCACGGCCTGTCTTACACAACATTTGGCTTTTCCGGTCTGTCCGTCGCTACCTTCAAGGGCAAGGTGGAGGCCACTCTCACGATTACCAACACTGGGAGCAGGAAGGGCTCCGCCGTTGCGCAAATGTACATTCAGCCAAGGCAGGCCGCACGCGTCAACCGCCCCGTCAAGGAGCTGCGTGGATTCACAAAGGTCGAGCTCGAGGCCGGCGCGTCCAAGACGGTCTCTATTAGCGAGCTTGAAAAGTACGCGCTGGCATATTTTGACGAAGAGCGTGACCAGTGGTGTGTCGAGTCAGGCGAATACGATGTCATCATCAGCGACAGTAGTGTTGTCAATGAGATGACGCTGCGGGCTAGCATTACCGTACCGGAGACATATTGGTGGTCTGGCATTTAGACTGGATTGATGTTATGGACTAGTTCATACTACCGAGATCTACATACCTCGCTACTCATAGTCTGCTTCTTTGGTACAGCCTCTCAACTGTATACAACAACGCATGTATGCACATTCATTCATCTCCTAGTAGTGTATATCTACAAACGACCTAATCGTTTATTTTGGTTTCGTGAAGGGTGCCTAGTAACAGAGAAGAGGCGATTAGAACCATTTGCTTTCACAGCTCAGTTTATATCATCGATACAGTGGTCAAAGAAGCAAGTGAATATGTATATATAGCTCTGTCTTTTTTTGTAAAAACACTCTATTCTTTCATATCGTACAATCCGTCACAAGGTACAGCTTTTGGCTCTCCAGTTTCTCATGCGGCTCTCGTCTTTGCGTTTACTCCTCATCGGCACGCTTTTGGGGAGGCCAGTTGCCCTCCGTGCCCTGCTCGGCACGCTTTTGGGG